CCAGACGGACATTAAAATAAAATTTAGGACGACGGACGACGACGGCACGGTGCTTCATACGCTCGGCAAGCACGGTCGGCATGCACCTGTGTGCATGCCGAGCCATAGCCCAGACTGATTACAAATACCCCAATGACAAAGTTGCTGTAACATTCACCATAGCTATACAAACTTAATTGGTCACCGATATAGTACCCTACTGTGGGAGACATACAACTACAATCATTGACGAGCATGACCGCCGCGCGCCGCGCGCGATCCAAGACTGAGCGCGGCCGACTAACCGCACATATTTTATATGCGGCTGCATGACGTTGTAGCCGTACCTTGATGACGACAGACGTGCGCCTGCGCCTGCGACCCTCAGAACACTGAGCGGCCGGTCGCCGCGTTAGTTTTTATATGAACGCAAGAACGTTTCTGATTGGCCGAGCGCATTCTTCGACATTTATTTTACCAATCAGATATACGTAGCTTTAAGTAAATTTTGTATAAATATGACCGTCTAAATAAATTCGAAATCATTCTGGTAATTCGCATAATTGGTGTTTTACTAAATACCCCAAGAGAACTCATATTGGTGACCCCGACGTGGCTCGGCATGCACCTGTGTGCATGCCGAGCCATAGCCCAGACTGATTACAAATACCCCAATGACAAAGTTGCTGTAACATTCACCATAGCTATACAAACTTAATTGGTCACCGATATAGTACCCTACTATAATAATAAGCCACAAACAGTATTAGATGATGTTGATGAAGCGAAAGAGGTATGTAGGAATCGTAGTAATTGGCGTTCTATAGTCTCTGCCTACCCCCATGGGAGACAAGCATGATTATATATGTATGTAAGCAGTATTAGAAAACGAATATTTAAAATTGTATTGGGACAGAACCATTATCACAAACAGAAAAACCCACAACAATAGACCAGGCATAACTATGCTAGATAAACAAAAAAAGTTAGTTTATAAAAGAAATATAGCCATTGGCAACACTCACAATCTCACCACCATACAATCCGAAGAAACAGCAAAATATACAGACTTATCAATAGAAATAAAAACTGTATGATTACTGAATGATTACTGATTAGTGGATGATTACCCATACCAAAACTGTCCCAATCATTTTATCCACCACCGGAGTTATCCCAAAACCCATCATAGAGGTCTTAGGGCCAATTTTTCAATCTTCAGTTAATTCTTAACTATAGAATAAAATTGACATTTGACAGTTATTTGTATGGAAGAATTGTCATGAACTGTCTGCCTCGTTGGCCGAGTGGTCGCAAGTGCCTGCCGGGCAAGGGGTCTCGGGTGATTCCCGGGTGGGGCAAAGAATTACTGGGTTTTAAAAAAATCTCAGTAGTAGCACGGAGTCTGGAATTGTGCCCGATATGTGGCAATAGGCTCACCCCCTATTACGTGGGAAAAGTGGGTTATACCCTGTATAGTGGCATTAAATGCCGTAATGTGCACCTCTGCCTATCCCATCAGGGATAAAATGGGTAATGTTATATATGTGTTACGGCTAATACCCGAATTTCGGCTACACCTAGCTTTAGCCGGTTAGAACTAGGAGTAGCCAATTACTCTTGGTTAAACTTAGTACGAGCCGATTGTTTTCGGGTAAAACTAGGCCTAGCCTTCATCATGCCGGCTACAACTAGGTCCAGTCATTCTCTGTTGGATAAAACTAGAAGCAAACAAATTAAAACAAAGTAACAGGTGCCTGGCTCACGCGAGACGCGTCGCGCTCGCACGCCCCTGCCGGCCCGCCTCCCGTACATCGCGTTTGCCCAATTGCGCTTTGAGTTTAGTACGCGTTGTGCCGTTGCATCAAAGAAATTACTTGATAAATTTTGTATCTTTGTATGAAAAGTTTCCCCCGTGTAAAGTCGGTGATATCGAGTTAAAATTCTTGACGTGGACACAGGTAGAGGCGGCTTTCCGAATGTATTAATGGTTGTACTTGAATGTAACGACAAGGGGTTATACAAATTAGGAAACAAATACGGCACTATAACAGAACTATTTTCAAGAAATCAGTTCACTGCGTGTGACACAAAATTTTTAGATATTGACATGGTTTTACCCGAAAAGAAATCACTACGCCAAAAACCAATGCACAATCGACCTCTGGTGGGCAAGGGTATAAAAGATGCCACTGCAAAACCAAATGTGGCAACAAAAAGTGCCTCTGCAAAGCTGCTGGTATTTTGTGCAACTCAAAATGTCACTCAAGTTTAAGTTGTTCTAATAAATAGTTTATGTTACTTTATAAAAGTGTGATTTATAATTAACATTCTTTAAATTATAATATGCAACTACTTATTATCTGGTGTTAAAAAAATGTTCCTGATTGTTCCTATTATATTAAAAATCGTCCTTGTAATAATTAATTATTAGGTACAATGTGATTTATAAGAATAAAAAAGCTATCTACGTTTCTTTTTATTGGATACTAGCGGACCCGACAGACGTTGCATATTCACTTGAATGTATAAACAAAAATCAGCCGTTTAGGATAAAAAACCTAGACACCGACTACAGCGCCATCTGCCGGGCTGATTTGTGAATCTAAACCATCCAGGGCGCAAACCCCTCAAACGCATACAAAAAAATTCATTTAAATCGGTCAAGCCGTTTAGGAGGAGTTCAATGACATACACACGCACAGCAGAATTATATTATGTATATTGTTGGATATTTTTTAATATCTAAAAAAGGTCTGCCTGTTAGATAAAACTAAGACACGTGCTGCTGCTGCATATGCTGTGAGTCACACTCGCTATTAGACCTGCAGTAGATCAGCAGCACCTGGCGCTCACATGCTATGCCCTCCACCCCGCGCCGCTGCTGCATATGCTGTGAGTCATGAGTGTGAAGCGGGGCGGAAGGGCGCGTTTATATGACACGGAATGTTACAGCGTGTCGGCCGCGCGGTCAGGCCTGGTGGCCACGCCACGCCACTGCAAACCCGAACCATTTCCAGTTGATCTTGGTCTTTCTTAAAATTCACACGAGTTCGTTATGAGCTATTTGACTAAGAAGAATAAAATTATGATTGCATATTACTTGTACCGACAAAGCAAAAAGAAAGAAAAAAAGAAATGCAGAAAATTTTGGATTCAGATCAGGGTTGTTGCTGATGCAGGATTTTATCACATCAGCGGATATGCTGATGCTGATTTATTATAATTTACATCAGCTGATGCTGATGCTGATGCTGATTTTAAGGTTTTTTTATACCTACTCAATTTTATAATTTTTTTAGGTAGGTAAATATTATATTTTCATCGATCTATTTTTAATAAAAGATGTATTTTAATAATTCTATAACTTTTTAAAGAACCAACAAATACGTAAAAACTAGTGAAGTAATAAATTATTATTAATATTGGAATCCTATTAACGGCAAGTTGTATTTAAAAAAAACACAACTGAGCTGCTTTTTCAGCTTGCAGTCTGTTGTGGGTAGGTTTGTATATAATGCCGGCACTGCGGCAATTGGAAGGCGCATATAGCACAATTATGCAAAAAGGTGAGCAGTTCTGCATACGCTATGTGCAGATTGGCCCCAGTAGTGAACATCGATGCTTCACTCACGGCCTACCACGGCCTTGTTGACTCTGTCTTACGGTATGGAATAATCTTCTGGGGAAACTCAACAGATAATGCGCTGGTTTTTAAGGCCCAAAAACGTTGCATACGAGCCATGTTTCACCTGGACTCGACTGACTCTTGTAAACCGTCCTTTATAGCACATAAAATTTTAACACTTCCGTCACTATACATATTAGAGACAGCACTGTTTGTTCATAAAAACCCTCATCTATTTGAACAAATTTCTGGTGTGGTAAAAAGAAACAGGCGCAAAATTAATAGTAATAGACTGTGTCTGCATAGTGCAAAAACTACTCTGGCACGAAAAAGCGTATTATGTATGGCGCCAAAAATATATAATAAAATTCCTAATGATATTAGAAATTGTAATGTAAGATTATTTAAAAATAAATTGAAAATAATTCTGGCCAAGAAATGTTATTATAGTATTCATGAATTTTTAAATGAAAACAATTTTAATATGTAATTGTATCTCATATTATTCTTTAAATTAAATTAAATGTATACCTAATTGACTTGACGTTCACTTTGATTGACTGACATTTTCATGAAATTCTTATTTATCTAATACTAATTTGATTATATTGTAAAATGACTCGTATTAATGTATTTTATTTAATAATACTTTTGCGCGCTGTGTTCCACGGCAAAACATGCTGTACATAAACATTTTATTCAACATCTTGTTACCTACCATGTTTTGTGCAAATAAATGATTTGATTTGATTTAATTTGATTTGCTAAATAACTGTGCGCTAGGGACGCTTGCAGGCGGAGGTGACAGGATAGGTACCTTCTGCATTTTGCTTGCAATGCTTGCAATATTGATTGACGATTTGTTATGAAATATATGTATTTTGATTGGCCAAAACTCGGAAGTGACTGCGGCACGTGCCATTAACTCCGCCCAGTGCCGGTCATGTCGCGATACGAACTTTGAACATCAGCATCTAACATCAGCAACAATTAATGCGGATGCTGATGCTGATGCTGATGGGGACAATAGTGCTGATATTCCGTTGATGCTGATGCTGATATTTGCAACAACCCTGATTCAGATTTTAGCACGGCGAGAAGAGTTTGGTGAATGTGAGTGTGAGAGCGACACGGCCGCGTGGCCGCCGCCGTGTGATCGAAGAACGAACGCCGCGCGGTCGCCGCGCGGTTCGTTACTCAAAATTAATATCAACTTTACGTCCTAGTTGATAAAACATAAATTTGCTATAACTGAACAGTTAGTACGCGGCCACCGCGCGGCGGCCGCAAGAATTTTTTCGCGTCGTCTAACTGCAGCCGAAGGCTTGGCGGGACTCGCATCTAAGTTTTATCGAACAGGGATAGTTTGGACCTACTCCCAAAGCGTCTCCTGCTATCTCTCGAAAATGATAGAGTATACTCGATAGATATAGGTTTCGAGTATCTCTCGATAGATTTCGAGGACGCTCGATAGTTTACGAGGATGCTCGATAGTTTTCGAGGACGCTCGATAGTTTTCGAGGACGCTCGATAGTTTTCGAGGACGCTCGATCGATTTCGAGGACGCTCGATAGTTTTCGAGGACGCTCGATCGATTTCGAGGATGCTCGATTGTTTTCGAGGACGCTCGATCGATTTCGAGGACGCTCGATTGTTTTCGAGGACGCTCGATCGATTTCGAGGATGCTCGATAGTTTTCGAGGACGCTCGATTGTTTTCGAGGACGCTTGATAGTTTTCGAGGACGCTCGATCGATTTCGAGGACCCTCGATCGATTTCGAGGATGCTCGATAGTTTTCGAGGACGCTCGATCGATTTCGAGGATGCTCGATCGTTTTCGAGGACGCTCGATAGTTTTCGAGGACGCTCGATCGATTTCGAGGACGCTCGATAGTTTTCGAGGACGCTCGATCGATTTCGAGGACGCTCGATCGATTTCGAGGATGCTCGATTGTTTTCGAGGATGCTCGATCGATTTCGAGGATGCTCGATTGTTTTCGAGGACGCTCGATAGTTTTCGAGGACGCTCGATCGATTTCGACGACGCTCGATCGATTTCGAGGATGCTCGATAGTTTTCGAGGACGCTCGATCGATTTCGAGGACGCTCGATCGATTTCGAGGATGCTCGATTGTTTTCGAGGATGCTCGATTGTTTTCGAGGACGCTCGATCGATTTCGAGGATGCTCGATTGTTTTCGAGGACGCTCAATAGTATTCGAGGACGCTCGATAGTTTTCGAGGACGCTCGATTGTTTTCGAGGACGCTCGATAGTTTTCGAGGACGCTCGATCGATTTCGAGGACGCTCGATCGATTTCGAGGATGCTCGATAGTTTTCGAGGACGCTCGATCGATTTCGAGGACGCTCGATAGTTTTCGAGGACGCTCGATAGTTTTCGAGGACGCTCGATCGATTTCGAGGATGCTCGATAGTTTTCGAGGACGCTCGATCGATTTCGAGGACGCTCGATAGTTTTCGAGGACGCTCGATCGATTTCGAGGGCGCTCGATCGATTTCGAGGACGCTCGATCGATTTCGAGGACGCTCGATAGTTTTCGAGGACGCTCGATCGATTTCGAGGATGCTCGATAGTTTTCGAGGACGCTCGATCGATTTCGAGGACGCTCGATAGTTTTCGAGGACGCTCGATCGATTTCGAGGGCGCTCGATCGATTTCGAGGACGCTCGATCGATTTCGAGGACGCTCGATAGTTTTCGAGGACGCTCGATCGATTTCGAGGACGCTCGATCGATTTCGAGGATGCTCGATAGTTTTCGAGGACGCTCGATCGATTTCGAGGATGCTCGATAGTTTTCAAGGACGCTCGATAGTTTTCGAGGACGCTCGATCGATTTCGAGGACGCTCGATCGATTTCGAGGACGCTCGATCGATTTCGAGGATGCTCGATAGTTTTCGAGGACCCTCGATCGATTTCGAGGACGCTCGATAGTTTTCGAGGACGCTCGATCGATTTCGACGACGCTCGATCGATTTCGAGGGCGCTCGATCGATTTCGAGGACGCTCGATCGATTTCGAGGACGCTCGATAGTTTTCGAGGACGCTCGATCGATTTCGAGGACGCTCGATCGATTTCGAGGATGCTCGATAGTTTTCGAGGACGCTCGATCGATTTCGAGGATGCTCGATAGTTTTCGAGGACGCTCGATCGATTTCGAGGATGCTCGATAGTTTTCGAGGACGCTCGATAGTTTTCGAGGACGCTCGATAGTTTTCGAGGACGCTCGATAGTTTTCGAGGATGCTCGATTGTTTTCGAGCACGCTCGATTATTTTCGAGGACGCTCGATTATTTTCGAAAACTATTCGTTCTTGCCTTCATTGGCTGTCCAGAGTGGAGTCGCGAAAGCAGTGATCCTGCTCAGAGGGTAAGAAACTATTCGTATCGCATTCTCGTTGCCCCTCTGTTGCTATATCTAGCAACCATTCCCGGGGCCCGGTCGGTTGGCGAGTCTCCGCCTGCCATTTTTACATGTAGTAATTACACCTGCCGCACCGGCACCTGCCGAAACAATGTAATTACTACATGTAAGTCATCCATAGTTCCCATTTTACTAGTCCAAAGCAACCCATCCATAGCCCTACCTTTTTTTCCATTATCCACAATAGTTCTACACTAACCGGGGACTGTCCTTGGGTGCATTGTGCATACAGAGATAGTCGCCGGTTTGTGTGTCCATTACATTTATATTAAAGTTGCTTAAAGGGCCTCTGCGCAGTTGGTTTCGGCCCCTCGTACGCCTCCCAAATGACCGGGACCCTGTGGTCCTGTGAATGCTAAAGACATACATGATAATAATACTTCCATAGACATAATCTTGTAGCCAGGATTATTCATCAACAACTTGCGTGTGCCCTATTATAAGTATCTACCTGACCCAGTTATTGAAAATGGAGATGTCACACTGTATTGGGATCGAACTATCATCACAGACAAGACAATAATTGTTGCAAATAAACCTGACATTGTGGTGATAGATCGACCAAGCCGTCGCACAATGATAGTTGATATAACAATCCCACATGACGAGAATCTTGTGAAAGCTGAAAAAGATAAAGCAAGTAAATATCTCGATTTAGCTCATGAGATTGTTGACATGTGGGATGTGGATTCAGCAGTCAATATGCCGATAGTCGTATCTGCCAATGGCCTCATTGCTAAAAGCCTCGACCAACATCTGAGTAGGCTAGCGTTAGATGGTTGGGTCAAGGGCCTGATGCAGAAAGCAGTACTTCTGGATACGGCGCGTATTGTCCGGAAATTCCTTTCTCCACCGCTAGCTTGGATTTCTCCCGGTACCGGTGAGCTACTGCTTTTTATATTTTTACTGTTTTTTTTATGTAATCAAACATTTAAAAATATATATAAGTCATGTATAGAAATAAATAAAGGAAATAACAATAATAATAAAGCCGCAGGGCACCTTGAGGCGAGGTGACGGGCATTAGCGACCCCACGGGCTACCATCATCCCGAGTGCTCCAGGGAGAAGTCACCGTTCCTTACTCTCCGGCTTGCCTTAATTGGCTGGCTGGAGCCGAGTTCTAACCGGAATGATATCGGATAGACCTAGGTTTATCCACCAGGGAATAGCTGGACCTAGTTGTAGCCCGCATGATGAAGGCTAGACCTAGTTTTACCCGAAACCAATCGGTTCGTACTAAGCTTAACCAAGAGTAAGTGGATACACCTAGTTCTAACCGGCTAAAATTAGGTGTACCCGCACTTCGGATATTAGCCGTAACATATGTATGTATAATAATGTTATTTTCATACGCTTCTTACCCAGGGGGCCTACCACAAACTTCTATGAAACTATCTTATAATAAGAAAAGAAAGTTTTGTTTCATGCTTAAAACAGTCTTTCTCTATTTCGTACCATGACCATTATAATACTTAACACGTTAAACGCCATGGGGGTCACCGGTGACCGGCGGTAGCGGAGGATTTACCTTCAACAGTTTTTTATTGGCAAGTCTTAATATTGTTTTATTCCTGCCGAATGATGCGAAAGTATGAATGATTTAAAAATATTGTCTAAGTATTCCTTACAAAGAAACAAAATGAAACAGCGTTATATACGCTGTATAGTTTACGTGTTCCGAATCACATGCTTAGTAACTGCAATATTTTGGGTTTAAGGCCGTGCACTGCGTTAGGAGAAAGACGAAGAAAGAAAAAGCTTTATTTCACGCCAAAAAATAAGTGGCATGTACAAATAAGTCATTCTATTAGTAGGTACTGATGGATACATGATCATGTACCTAGTTCAGGGACCAGTTCAGCATGTGCAAGACAGGGCCTTGCGCTGGTATTCTACTGGTGCCTTAGGCCCCTTAGGCGTGCCCACGGCGTGGGCGTACGCGTGGCGTGCTGTTTCATGTAATCTCATATATCAGCGTGCGACGGGTAACCCGTTGCATGCAGCGCACGGCTTTAAGCGGAAAACTAATGGGGGTGAGTTAGGAGCAGATGTAATCTACTCGCCCGTCACTATATGGTTGGGGTTAGGTAAATATTAGAAAAGAAATAAATCAAACAAAATAAGTTTTCATAGACATATATTTCTTAAAGAGTTTACACCCACAAAATAATACGAATCGTAAAGAATTGAAAATTTATTTTATAAAAAAACTTATCAACATGAAAATGTTAGTGTTTTGACAATAAACAAGTTACGTCGAATAGATTCTAACACATAATTCTTAACCCTACAATGTTTATCAAAAAACATTTTTTCTTTATTTTTTATATTTCCTTCATTTCGTTATCCAAACGTTTTGGGAGATCTTTAAAAAGGCACTCAATAGAACGGTTGCCTTAAAATGAGATCTAATTTTTGAAAATTCTACGCCCGTTTAAAATTTTTCTAAAAAAAACTTATATACGACAAAAACATATCTAAAAAATTTGATCACGCCAAAATAATACGATATATTACGAGGGTAGGTACTGGAACATTTATATTTATTTCGTTTTTTTTTAATATAAATAAAGCAACGATCATTTTAAGCACCACCCGCACCACCTTAAAAAGAAACTATGTATTTTTTATTATAAAAATATAATTTTGAACGAGATCCAAACAATATCAAAAGAGAAATTCCAAAAGTACTTATAATATACATCGAATTACATAGAGCTACCTACTTATAATTAAATTTTGATGGTAAAATGGATTACGACTATGCTAGATGAAAAATAGTTGAGAGGACAAAACGAGAAACGCAATCCACGGACAACCAGTTAAAAAAACTGATAAAAAATATAAAATCATAAAAAAATCGGTCATCTAATTGGGTCACACATTAACACACATTTTTATTCCATTATTATCAAGAAGTATCATCATCAGAAAAATATGTACGCAAAGACGTTTTAAAAAATCGAATGCATTTATCATTAAAAATCTTAACCAGCTGCCCGTGGAGTGATAAAATAAAATACGATTATGGAACATTATCAAGTCCGAAATAAGTCTTAGAATAGAAAAAAATAAATGCCATATTAAGACGCAAGTTAAAGCATTACTTTGATAACTCATGCTACAAATAAAAAATAAAACGATAAATTCATTATCGCCTGAACTTTTGCTCTATTATCTGTGAACAATAAAAAAGTCACCGGGTCACAAAGATGGAGAAAAAAGTACGATTATTGATTTTTAAATAATTAATTATAACTGATAATCGCCGGTTTTAGAAGTCAATTATATTATTAAATACAAGTCATGTTGATAGCTATACAGCTATTATTATCTAACACTGACAGTTTTTGACGGGTCTAAAATGCCATTAATTTTTGATGATTCACATTTTTTTTCGAAATGAGTGATACCTACTTACAAGTGACGTTAAAATAAAATGAGGTGTTGGTTCTAACGAGGCTAGTTAGATATAGAAAACCACTTTCTTAGATTTCATAGAACATTAGTAATATAAAAATGACAATAAAGCAATATTGTGAAGCAAAAATAGGAAACTTCTGTAGTATAACTTACTACTCCAATCTAAAAAGACATAAATGTAGGTGCTTATAATAACTAGCGATAAAAACTAGCCTCGCACAAACCAGACCTTACAAGTTGAGTAATTTAAACTAGGTAGGTAGGTACAAAAGTAAAATAAAAAAATGTACATTTTTCACACTCACGGCACACAACACTATAAGGTTTGCAGTCTTCAACCGAATATCACATAGCTATAAACTCCACACATAAGACTCCAAGCATTAATTGCACAGACATAATATATTTTTATAAATGAAAAAAAAAATACGAAAAAAATCTGCTTGTAAAAAAGTCATGCGGCATTCTAGGGTTGATTTTCGACATTGACGCAAATTCATGAATGAAACATTTAAATGAATGAAAACATTTCAATTTAGCTTTACGATAACAGAATTAGATAATTGTAATCAACTTTAAAAGCGGTTTTTAAAAGAAAGAAATCTCGTTTACCTACTCTTTTAGCAAAAACTTGGAGTCCAAACTATTCTAAGACATTGCTATGAACATCCACAGCTTTCGACAACCATGCCGGGGATGGTCCCGTATATAATGTTATAATCATGGTCGAAGTAGAGCATTGTGATGCTGCTCATCCTTCGAGGGGCGCAGCAAGGCCCCCCACTGCCTTGCGGAGCTGCGAGATGGACTAAATGAGTGTGTGGATACTTTTGTAGGAAGCTGTAAGGGCACTCCCCACTGCAATAGTTGGCGTCATAAACTTTGGGCGCGATGATCCAGTCCCAGCCGAATTCTTCGAAGTTCACCACGAGGGGGTACCGACAGCAGCGCGCTTCTTTAGAGTTTTCGGTGCAGTCCATGCCAATAGTACGGCGCGTGCGTTTGTGTGAATTGTCCTTTAGACTTACTTCTATGTATGGCATCTGGAATAAAATGGAGATTATTAGAATCCATGTAACATACCTTCAATTACTACCTATTGGCCAGTTTCAGTAACCATCTATCTGATACAGAACACAGATTGAGAGTAGATAAGTAGACAGGAGCTAGCTATAGGCTTATACAAGTCAAGACTGGTTATATGTAGGCAAAGCCCCAATCTAGACCCTCAAACTCGAAAAGATCCCTAAATACTTTAAGAATCTAGGGCTCTTTTCCCAGTGTTCCAAATTGTTATCAACACGAATAATATAACTAGTGGAAGGTGAGTGCAGAGCAAGTGCCTCTACTTACTCCTTTGCCCTCTCACCTCCAGCAATAAAGACTTATTAAAACTTTTTGAAATTATCTTTCAAATTAATCAAAGTAATTGGCAATCCAAAGAGCAGGTCTCATCATCCCAATTTATAACCACAAAGACTCATTCATATCCGTGAAATTGCATCATTTTAAAAATAAACAGAAAAAAGCTGATAACTCGTTAATAAGTTAAATTTTTGATCGGTATTATCTTTTTGATACAGATATACATAATTTTTTTTAATATATTCATAACGACACAAAAAGAGACCTAATATAGACACAGATAACTTTGATGTCACTGCAGTAGTTAATTTTGAATCTGATAATTTTAAAAGTAATGAGGAAAAGATTACTGTAATTTGTTTCGGTTAATTAGGTCGATTTGACATGCTGTGAAATACTTAAATGATAGCAAAATACGCAAAAGATATAGCGGTTTTTCCCAAAACTTGAAATCGATGAATTAAGTTAAAAATAAGAGTAAACGGAAATTAATATGAATGTAACCTACAGAAAATGTTGTAATTGAAATGCTGCATACTAGCTTTAGTCATTCGAAGAAGGTAAAGCTTAAAGTAAGTGTAAGTAAAGGATACAAAAGACAGTCAACATGAAGAAAATGTAGATGGAATAGATATAGAAACCCTAAAAAGGACAAGATAAGAAAAAGGGACATTAAAAGTGAACTTACCAAAGCATTATTTGATTCAGAGCTTGGATGTGGCACAACCAAACTCATTCTATTCTTTGAGTCTTGTACTCTCACTACTATTGCTAAATTCTCCCGCGGCAGTCGACAAAACTCCGCAACCATCGTGGTTATGTTAACCTTCAACCATTTTCCAGCCCTCAGCTCACTTCTGACCATCTTTACAGAATTATCAGTGTAAGGAACCGAAGCTTTGCTGCCCTGGTTGTTCCTCGTCACCCTACTGACTTGCAGGTTGATGGTGAACGGCTCATCAGGATCTATGGTGGTGTTTCTCGACTCCAACTCCTGGATGTGAAGGTTGAGGACCGCCTCGTCCAGCTCATTTTGTAAGACCTTATTGGTGAATCTGAAGTTGATCACTTTTAGCCCTTTAAAGTGATTGTGCCGTCGTGTGTCTGTCGGTCAGAAAAATATTTATTATTAGGACATTGTGGTGGTACTATAACAATTTATCATTTTTGTTATACACAATGTAGTGTTCGAGCCCATAGTCTAGATAGAAATATCTACCTGCCTATTGATTGATTACTTAATATTAATAAATTATCGTATGTAATTTTAATTTTATATTCCGGACCCTACCTACTTACTTAATCGAATATTCCTATTGCCCTATCTTTTAAATTATTATTAGCCTGCTTATTTCTCTCTTTGTACGCTTTGAGTTAGTTATAATATTTTTCTGTCTTTATTAACATTTACAACCTGTTTCATGCCTCTCCTTACATGGTTTTTCCATGGAGTATAACAAACTAAAGCCGCCACTTTAGCCATTATACCCACGGAATCACCAAGACCATACTTCACCATTCGAAATATTGTAAATGTTAAAAAAATTAAAAATATTATCACTAACATTATTAATTTATTAATTTTATTAAAAATTCTGGAGTTTAAAATGTTGGTTAATTATATTTAAACTTAAAATTAATCGTATTTAAAATTATTCTTTAAACTACTTATTGAGACGTGGCGTTGTTAGGTTTTATTTATTTTTGGCTTGGTTATTGATTTAAGTGTTATTGATGTCAAAGATCATAAGATCTGGCTTTGAAGTCACATTTGGATCCAGTTTAAATTGTAGTTTCTTCATATCTTCGGTGCGAAGGAGACCCACGATCTGAAAAGAAAGAAAAATTCGATAAAACTTTCTCTGTTTCCATGTTTTATTTGAGTACCTAACCGCAGATTAAGAACTGTTAAAGACTAATCTAGCGCTAGCATCGGTCATCGTTTTCCGACAGGTCGCGGCCATAACCGTTATTTTTTTTACTTTTCTACAGTGATTATCCTTAATGTTCTACGATGATTAATATTCTTTAACAATATTTATTAATTTTTATTTTACGCCATGGTCGTCCAATTGCAGGGCAAAGGACCTTCCCTACTCTTCTTCCTCTCGTTTTTTAGATTGCAAGGGTTGGCCATAGAAAGCAATAAGAAGATACAGAAAGCTTTTTTTTAAGGGGGGAAAATCATCGAATGACTGCTCCCGCCTGGGTGAGGCGGGAGGGAGAGTCAGACTCTTACTGACTAAAAACCACCCCGTTCCTTCTCCTGCACGTCGAGCCGGAGCCCCGGTTACCCGTTAGGTTCTCCGCGACGTACAGAAAGCTTTGTCAATATCAAATAAAAAAACATAAGTATAAATAAAAACTATTAATTCATAAAAACGTTAAGTTTACGAAGATGGATCGTAGTCTATCGTACCATAGGAATCTACACCTTGGAATGAGCAAATAGCTTCACTTTTAAATTTCTACTGCTGACGTTCAAAAGTGCCTTCCTGGTCTAATTGAAATAAATTATTTTGACTTTGACTTTGACTTTGATGTTCAATAAAAAATTAAAATATTTTACGGAAATATAAAATTTTAAACATCTAGGCATCAAAAAGCTCTATAAATAAAAGAAGGCGTTTAATAACATATGGACTTAAATATATACTATTAGCACCTGCAACACACGAACTGACCTACGCGTGAACTTGGTATGGAAGATATCTTTCACAAGTATCAAGGTTCATTCCGATAAAAATATTTCGCAAAACTAGTCATAGTGCTACATTCAATTTGTTTAATAACATTATCATAGTATTTTGATTATTTGTGACGTTAGTTTAAAATAACTTAAAATGCTAAATGATTTCCAAGTTTAAAAAATTGAATAATTAAATTTCAATGAAGTGTTTAAATTATTTTTTTAAGTAATGATAAATTAAATATGAATTTCGGTTCATAGATAATATTTAGGCATTACTTTAAATTAAAACATATTCGAAAATATATCAAATAAATTACTTTGAAAATGTATTACAGGAACAACAATAATCTCGACTTCAGAAACATTTTTAAAGGTCATTAAAACGCTTTTAAAAAACCCTTTAAATTAAATTAACCCCTTGAATGCATGTATATGAGACACAATACAAAATTCATTGTCTCTCGTGTGGATTTACGTTTAGACAAACGACGGGTTAAACAAAAATCGAAATCTTATCTAAGTACTTAGTTAAAGAACAAAGAAACTAACAGCAAACCCCGATAACGACGCACTTTGTGATCTAGATTCAAATCAACCACATTCAACATATCAGATCAAAGACAAACTTAACAGGATCAGGTGTATGATTTCAAAAACGTCCTAAAAACTGAATAATCGGCCGACGAAAGTAAAATAGAAAAAAGTATGTACATTACCGTGTAATCCACGCCACCTTACTATGTACTAAGATAAAAGTTCGCAAACTGAACAGGTGCTAAAGAAACATCTAAAAATAAAAAGTTCGTTCATCTAGACAAGAAGGCCATCCCTCCCACTTCGATCCCACCATGATATTTTAACATTCCCACAAATTTACTAAAACATTGCTAAGAAATATCCACAGTTTTGACAGCCTGTATATAAATCCGTCAACGGCTGTTTACAATTAAAGTTTTTCAGTTTGTTGATGCAAAACAGATGCGTTTTTTAGTCCATGCTAATGTTAGAATGCCTAGAATTATCTAGATTTTAGGATACCGTAGTCTATGGAGAACCTGGTTATGATTTGGAGTTTTGGGTCTGTACCTTTTAGAAAATTCATGGAGTTACCTGTAAGTTAAATACAAATAGGCAACATTAGGCATACACCTATTATAGCCAATACAGATTTATCGACAGTTACTTTAAAGTAGATAATATAAATAAGATCAATTTATGTCGGATGATTATCATGATGCGTCATTCAAAATCAGTTTTTTTATGGAATCAGCCGGTAAACGAGCAGACGGATCACCTAATAGTAAGCAATCAGCGCCGCCCATGGACACCTGAAACACTGAGGCGTTTACAAGTGCGTTACCGGCCTTTAGGGAATTAGAGGATTGTGGGGGATTCGGGGATTGGGCAGACTGGGGAGGTGGGTACAGATTATCATTATCAGAAACAGAAAGAGTTTTAAAGAAACCTTTTCGGAGCGTTAGCTGAAGCTTAGCAAGTATATCCTTAAGAGGTGTAGAAGACCACGAAAAGAAAGTCTAGAATAGGACATCCCTGTCCACATGTTATGGGAACCATCGTTTTGTGCGTACAATTCATCAACAAATAATCTCAACATCACATTTCCTGATCCAGGATTGAACCAAAAACGTCACGCTCAACTGCCCAACCTTAAAAACTTCCAAAAAGAAACCAAATCTATTTTACACTAAAACCGCTTAGATACCACAGAAATACGTATTCTAAAGAAATATTAATCAAAATCTGTTGCGAAGATGTATTTTATAAACACATGGTGATTTATTTGTGAAAGCATTCTCGAATTTAGTTCAACAGTAACGCGTTGGTTAATTTATAAGTATTTACCAACGCGTCAGGTAAATCCACGTGGTCAATTAATTATAGAATACGTAGCCAGTTATTAGTCAGCAGTATATTCACCGTCATGTGTAAAAATTACAATTTTGTTTCATTTTAGATGGCTATACATGGTCATGATTGGTTTTTGATCAAGTTATTCCTCGTCCTGCCATCATCTCAAATTGTTTAGAAACTTACATTAGAGACAATTTCATTGTGTCATCTTCTTCCATTGTCAGAAGTCTCTCATATTAGAGGTAATACAGCTCTTTACCCTCCCCCCCCCCCTCAAACAACCCGCCCTTACCCAATCTCTGAATCCCTAGCAATCCTCAAATTCCTAATCCCAAAAGGACGGTAACGCACTTGCAACGCCTCTGGTGTTCCAGGTGTCCATGGGCGACGCCGATTGCTTACCATCAGGTGATCCGTCTGCTCGTTTACCGGCTTATACCATAAAAAAACTTCAACGCTTCTTAAAATTGAGTGATGTTTAAGTATTTGGATATGAGTAATAGTAATCAGCATTATTTTTCTGTGCCGACACCATACAGAACTAGCAATGTCAGTGTACAGGAGATAAAAACAAAAAATTGCGTCGTTCTGTAAAACAGACACAACGCGATGATCAATAAAATTAATTAAATAAACATTATCTTGTAACCTAGCATATTTTTACCACAGATAATATTCTATTTTTAACCCGACTGCTCAGTAATTAAATTCTTTATCAGTACCAGTTGTAGGACGGTTGTGGGAACGTCCCAATTGGGTACATTGTGTCTCTTTGGATCCTCCCTTTCCTTATAAACACACTAGCTTGTACCAGCGGTTTCGCCCGGGTTGTTGTGGGATACAAAGTGACCTATATGTTATTCCAACCACAATCTACCACTGTTCCAAATTTCATTTTGATCCCTTCAGCCATTTTGATGTGAAGGAGTATCAAACAAACAAACAAACAAACAAACAAACAAACAAACAAACATACAAACAAACTTTACCTTTCAATATTAGTAGGAAGGACTTTTTCTGCCGTTAGATATTCTTTGAGCTACTCAAAAATCATTATCGTAGGCTCGAAGGTTCACCACGATCCCTAACTGGATAGACTAAACCTATCTAGTTCTGTAATTGGGTATTTGCCAACTAGTCAAATTCAATACTTTTTTCGAATTGTCCAAAAAGGACAGTTTTATATGAATTTTGTAAGAGATTGTGAATTGTGAAGCCACGTTTTTCTTAAGCGTCAAACAGTATACTTATTTCTTAAAAAAATACTGGAAGTATACTAAAATTAAGTTGATCATAAAATCAATTAATGAAAGTGTGTTTATTTTTTAATAGTTTATTGTATTGAACAGTCAAAATAACATTGTTATCATTATATCACTGTCACTTCCTTATCTAGGAAAACATGGCTTTTTTTAAGCCTGTCCTATTCAATCAAAAATGAAGAAAATAAAGAAACAATAAGTGCATATACTGAAGTACCTACTTAGCTATATCTTCAACTTATTTAGGTAACTACTAATGGGACGATCCCCAACCAAATGGTCTAACCAGCTCAAGGACAACCCAGCAACGAGGTTCTACACCACAATACACATGGCCGCAGATAGAAGCCGATGGAGACAATTCGCCCGATCCAGAGTGATGCTACGTTGTCGTGGTGGCCCGGAGGTATAAGGCGCCCGTTTCTTATGCATGAGGGTGTTGAGTTCGAAACCTACCAACGGCAAGTACCAATGTGACTTTTTCCAAATTATATGTACTTTCCAAGATTATCAAGACACCACTGACAAACGGTAAAGGAAAACATCGTGAGGAAACCTTATATAGGGCTTACGATTTGTAATTATAAGTTTGAAATTGGCAACCCGCATTGAGCAAGCGTGG